CCTAGTTTGTAAAGGTTCGGTCGCCGCCTTCAAGGGCACCAATAGTGGAATCACGGCATCTCGCATTGTGTGAGGGCGTGAGGAGAATATGGTGGCCCTAGTGGCTTCTTGGGGAGCATTGTGCCTCCACACCGCTCCAACGGAGACGTACTTCCCCTCAAAAGGAAGGAACTTCGATAACACATCCTCGTCTTCACCGGCTCCACTTTTGGTCATCTCATCCCTTTACTTTTGCAAGCTTACTTGTGTTACTTTCCTTGCTTGCTTGTGTGCTTGTGTGTGTTGCATCATATAGGTTGCTCACCTAGTTGCATATCTAGACAACCTACTTTGATGCAAAGTTTAATTTGGTAAAGAAAAGCTAAAAGTTGTTAGTTGCCTATTCACCCCCCCCCCCTCTAGTCAACTATATCGATCCTTTCATCATCCAACCCTCTTCTTCGTTTTCTTCTCCTAGATAGATTTGATTCCAGGCCTTGATCTTAGGCATCTTCTGTCTCTGATCGCCGCGTCAACAACATTTTTTTGCTCTGATGGTGCTTTAGAGGTCCAGAGGCAACATCTAGTTTTGATCACAGAGCGCTGCTGACAACCGCGGGAGGAAGGCAATGTCACAAGGACCAATTTGTAATTTTAATTTCTTTAAGACTTATAAGAGTTGGTCGACTTTAGTATATGGCCTTTGGCCTTTCCAGAGAAGTTGAGAGCTCGGCAGCTATGACAGAACAAATCAAGTTCATACCCATTTCAAGAGAGTATGTATGGTCGACTTTATATCATTAATATTTTGCGGATATGGCAATTGGCGTTTCCCATATCTTGGGTCCTCAAATATGTCTAGTATATACATTGTCTGTAGACAAAATTACTTAAATATAATTTTTGAAGAGCCTACATGATGCATGGCCATTTCTTATTGGCTTCGCTTTTCAAAATGGTATTTCCCCATTTTTTGTTACTTTTTGTAATTGGGATTAGGTAATGATTATATTTTAGATTTAGTGATTTTGTTATCAACGTGCATGGTAAGCTAATGATTAATGCAAACAAAGAGCATACTAAAATATAAAGCTTTGGGCCAACGGTCCCATGATTTGTCCATTTTCTTTCTGTTTGCTTTATGTTTTGGTCGATTTTTCATATTATCCCTACAACGCAGACGGTAACACTCTCTATTACCAAGTAGCTTAATCCTTTCTTAATTTTAACAAATTTCCATAGCGTTTAAATGAACATACAACTATCCTCATCGTATCCACTTTGCTCTCCATGCAACCTAGGACTAACAGAATTGCACTTCTTTTACAAGGGAAAAGAATTGCACATTTGCTAATGACTACAATTGTAATGTAATGTGTCACTTTTGTGGCTTAGATTTCAGGAAAATCCAGACAACTGAAATTAGTTAAAAATATATACTTTCTCCATTCCAAAGTATTAGGCATATAATTTTTTTTCGCGAAGTCAATCATTATGAAATTTGATAAGTTCATAGGACAAACTAGGAATATCTTAAATACTAAATTAATAAAATATAAAAATATATTTCATGCAATCTAATGATACTGATTTCGTATTCTCGATGTTGATATTTAAAGCAAACAAAAGATTAAAAAGATTAACATTTGTACAAATGTATACACCTTTTATATTTCAGAATTGGGGGGGGGGGTCCTAAAC